GAACTCAGGATAAGGTCTCCTGTGGGGACTTAACCTGGCTGTAGTGGGGTTGGCGTCCCTCTGTTGCTACGCCCTAGTCTTGGGCACAGAGAACCAAGCGGTAGTTGCAGGTTCTCTGAGGAGCTTTGCAGCTAGTCCCTTGGCCCAGAGCTGGCACCACACCACCCTGTGGAGCCTGGGTGCCCTGCCCATCCCTGTCCATCTTTGTTATTACTCAGGCCTCCCAGCTCAGAGCCCATTCTCCTTTCTCTGCAGATTGGCTCTTTGTGGTCGTGGTCTGCCTGGCAGGCTTCCTCCTCTTCCTCCTCCTGGGCATCTGCTGGTGCCAGTGCTGTCCCCACACCTGCTGCTGCTACGTCAGATGCCCCTGCTGTCCAGACAAGTGCTGCTGCCCTGAGGCCCGTAAGTACCCCTCACCTGCTTCCTGTACTGGAACTCTGCGGGCACATCAGCCTGCCCTCCAGATCTGGAGACCGAGGCAGGGTGTCCAGCAGACCATGTAGGACCTGGTACTCCAGTATCGGTCACGTACTTCAGCTTTTAACTCTAAGTTTGAGGCTTCCCTTGTGGTGTTGGGAATTGAAGCGAGGACCCTGTGCATGCTGGGCAAACACTACCACTGAGCTTCTGCCCCAACTCTGAGGTTTTTCTTTTGAGAGGATAATGTACGGCTGTGGTTCAAAAGCAAGACCACCGAGAATAGTAACATCCAACATTGTAAGATAGTGTTCACAGGAAAAGTAAAGCTCCCTTAAAACACAGTCCAGGGAGGGTGGCAGTTTTCCTAGGCAATCCCAGCACTGTGGGAAGGTAGAGACAAGATCTGAAGTTTAAGGCTAGCCTGGGCTACACAGGATCCTGCCTCAACCTCAAAATGGAAAGGTAAGAAACCAAGCAAGGTTTGTAGGGCGCATCATTTCAGCCAACTTTAAGCCGCACACAAGCACTCAAACTGCACGTGCCACATGGAGCCTGTCTTGAGACAGCCCTCACGTCCAGGTGGGCACCTGTGGAGGGCTGGGGATAGAAACTGGGACCGGAAATGAAGGAAGCACACACCTAAAGCAGAGGAACGAGACAAGAAAGCGGGTGACTCCAGCTGCCTGTGCCTCTTAGGGGACAAGGCTGCTGGCCCTTCAGTTTGCCTTGGGAGGCAGTTGGGATAGCTCTGCACCTTAGTGTATCGCCCACAGAAAAGAACAGGCCAAAGGGGCTTTGAGGCCAGCTAGGTGCCTGACGGGCAGAGCTCTGCACAGCAGGAGTTTGGAGGTTTTGTGTGGACAGCATTTGGTGGGGCCCACATGACGTGTTCCACACCTGCTCCTGTTGGCCACTGCTGTGAGCGGGTACACAGGTCAAGGAGGCCTGCTGTGTACTGTGTGTGGCCATGTTCCCTCTCTATCAGGGGTCCAACCATTGAGGGACCAGAGCGAAGTGCCAAACTGTATGCTTGAACGCTGCTCTCAAGGAGCAGCACTTGACTGATGGCTAGCACGGGCTGTGAGTCCATGTTACAGATGTGGAGGGAACCCCAAGAGCTGCAACCACTAAGACTGGGCCTTCGTCCCATACTTCATCCATCTCGACTCACGCGTCACATACCCACGGACTCATTGCCTCCCTCCCATGGGAGGGTCCTTCCTGTGCGCTCTGTCCCAGCCCCTACTGCTAATTATAACCCAGCCAGTCACCTTAACTAATGAAGGGGTTCCTCATGGGCAGAGCTGAGCACTTAAGTTTTCTGCTTCCAAATTAGAGGAGCAAGGAACCTTCGAGCTTCCAGAGTCCCAAGGAGGGCCCAGTGACTTTTGTATTGAGCCCAGACTCTCAAGCACTCTACCACTAACCTACATTCCGGGCCTCTTTTTACTTATTTTGAGACATCATCTTCCTAAATTACTCAGGCTGGCTGGCCTTAAAACTCTGTGGCCCTTTAAGACTGGAGAGATGAGCCTAGTGTGGGGCACGTGCCCATAATCCCAGCACAGGAGGCAGAGGCAGGGGCCAGCCTGGTCTCTATCAGGCAGCTCACAACTGCCTATGACTCCAGCTTCAGGGTATCTTATTCCTCTGGTCTCCTGGGGCACCTACCCATCCCCCACCACACACATACACAAATGAAAAATATAGAAGTAAATCTTTAGAACAAACAACAACAACAAATTCCAGGGAGTCAGGGCTGGTGAGGTGGCTCAGGAAAGGCACATGCTGCAAAGCCTGATACCAGGGTCTAAGCCCCGGGACCCACGTGGTAGCAGAGAACAGACTTCCGGAAGTTGTGCTCTGACTTCCACACATGCTGTGGCACACACTCACTGAATGTAGATGATGATGATAAACAGTCAAAAACCCTCTAGCTCTGACCGGCCTTGAACATGTAATCCTCGTGCCATGGCCTCCGAGGTAGCTGATATTATAGGCCTGCAGCACCAGGCTGGATCCAGTGACTTGAGTTAGGAATTGCCACCAGGCCCCAGCCTCTAGCCTGGGACGGATTTACCCTTGAGCTGTCAACCACAATCAGCTGGGTGGGTAGGGTGGGTGTGGCCAGCAGTTGGAAACCCTGGAGGTATGCACTACCCCTGGGTGCAGGCAAGGTAGCTTCCAAAGCTCCTGTGTGCATGACCTTGCCTGACTCCACAGTCACAGCTTTGCAGAGTATGGGCTACAGCTGCCTCAGCTGATGTAGACAGGAGTCCTGGAATGGGGGGGGGGGGGGTGCAGGGAGGGGCAGATTTATTTCTCTAGAGGGAGTGACTTTGCCTACTATTGACTTTAGGTGCAAGCCTGTCATTCTTAGTTTCCATGATAGCTGGGGCAGGAGGGTCACAAGTTCAAGGTCTGTCTTGGCTACACATGAGTTTAAGATCTTCCTGGGCCACTTATAAAGAAAGCCCTGTCTCAATACAAAAAAAGGGGGAGGGGGATGTGACTCAGTGGCAAAAACAGTTACCTAAGAAGTCTAGGGTTCTGGGATCCTTCCCCAGTACCAAAACATGGACACACACACACAGTCACCCTGGCATTTTGAATGAAACCTTTCGGCTGTCAGCCGTTGGCAGATAACCACAATGTGCAGATTGGTGCCCTGATCTGCCAGTGTGCACCCCGTTCTCATAACTCCATGTGAAGTCAGATAGGAAGGAGGAACTTGGCGACGGCTGGGTTCCCTAACCTACAGTATTGCAGGAATGGGATGGAGAGGCAAACTCATGTCCCCCCAGAATCCCATTCCTGCATGGGACAGCATAGCTTCTGATCTTCTGATCACCTTTCTCATCCCAATTTGCCCTCCCAGTTTATGCTGCCGGCAAAGCAGCCACCTCAGGTGTCCCCAGCATCTATGCCCCCAGCATCTACACCCACCTCTCTCCTGCCAAGACCCCACCACCGCCACCTGCCATGATTCCCATGGGCCCTCCCTACAGCAGGTACCCTGGAGACTTTGACAGGAACAGCTCAGGTGAGGCCTGGGGGAAGCCAAACAGGGTGGGATGGGACTGGAAGGGAGCAGGGAGACTGGGAGTGCCCCGCTTTGCTCCAGAGAGCAATTACTGACAATGTGATGTCTACTAGTCGGTGGCCACAGCTCCCAGGTACCCCTGATGCGTGATGTGGATGGCAGTGTATCTTCAGGTAAAAAAAACAAAAAACAAAAAACGAAACAACCCCTGTTATTTTGAGGTTGAATGTGCCTGCATTTCCTGCCCCCCCCCCCCCAAAAAAAAAAACCATTCACCTTGTTCCTCTCCTCAGAAGTAAGAAGTGGCTACAGGATACAGGCTAGCCAGCAGGACGACTCCATGAGGGTCCTATACTATATGGAGAAGGAGCTAGCCAACTTTGACCCTTCCCGACCTGGCCCCCCCAATGGCCGAGTGGAACGGGGTGAGCTGCAAACCTGGGTCTAAGGGGGAGGAAGCTGTGCCTGCTGTGCTCCCAGGGGACGGTGTGAGCCTATGGGTCACAAGGTTGGACCTATCTTAGTACCAGTGACGTCTCCCTTCTCTACAGCCATGAGTGAAGTCACCTCCCTCCATGAAGATGACTGGAGATCTCGGCCTTCCAGGGGTCCTGCTCTTACCCCAATCCGGGATGAGGAGTGGAGTGGCCACTCGCCTCGGAGTCCCAGGATGTGGGAGCAGGAACCCCTTCAAGAACAGCCAAGGGGCGGCTGGGGATCCGGGCGGCCCCGGGCCCGCTCTGTGGATGCTCTGGATGACATCAACAGACCTGGCTCCACTGAATCAGCAAGGTCTTCTCCCCCAAGTAGTGGGAGAAGAGGACGGGCCTATGCACCTCCCAGAAGCCGCAGCCGGGATGACCTCTACGACCCCGATGATCCTCGGGACCTGCCACATTCCCGAGATCCCCACTATTATGACGACTTGAGGTCTAGGGATTGGCGTGCTGACCCCAGATCCCGTCAGAGATCCCGGGACCCTCAGGATGCTGGCTCCAGGTCACGGGACCCTCAATATGATGGGCGACTATTAGAAGAGGCCTTAAAGAAAAAGGAGTCTGGAGAGAGAAGGAGACTTTACAGGGACGAAGATGAGGAAGAGGAAGGCCGCTACCCCCCAGCGCCGCCTCCTTACTCTGAGACTGACTCGCAGGCCTCGAGGGAGCGGAGGATGAAAAAGGTGAGCCAGGACCCTCTGACTTCAGACCCTCCAGACCCTCCTCCCCCAGCCCGTCCCGTTCATACTTTGTTTCTTTTCTCCCTTTGCAGAATTTGGCCCTGAGTCGGGAAAGTTTAGTCGTCTGATCCCACGTTTTGTATGTAGCTTTTATACTTTTTTTTTTTTTTAAATTGGAGGACTGATGAAACTCTTTACCAAGCCTAATAAAATACCTAATCACAAGTTCTAAGCGTCTGTTTTGCTGAGCGAGATGGGGGGGAACCAGCGCAGGAAGGGACCAGACAGGCCTTCTCTTTGGCCTGCAGCCTGGAGTACGTGCCCCAGGCCGCCTCCGCCCTGCCCCGCCCCGACGTGCGCATGCGCTCCGCACCCGGGAGCGCGCGTGCGCGCTCTCCCCCCCTGCCCCCCCCCAGTCCTCTGGTCTCCCCCACGACCTACTTCACAGTCTTCCAACCCTGTGACCCCGGCGATCCGGGCCCCGCGTGCGTGTCGCCGGGCATTCGAGCCCGGCCCGCGTCCCAGCCCGCGGTGGTCCCTG